AAAGGAAAGAAGTGATTGATAGCCTCAAAGTATAATAGATTTGAAGAGAATTCAATCGATAGATAAGAAAAGTGCTCTATTTCAAAGAGATCTGCTCTAAATAACCCTCATTAACGTTTATGGAAGGGCCTCAAAATCAGTTTTAATTCTGTCTAGTAGCGGAGCTCCGACAGTAACCTGCTGTATCATTTCATTGTTTTTGTTTACACATTTCGCCGTGAGTAATAGATTCCAGCTAATTATGATCCATTTTCCTTGGAATTGTTGGTTTATCTTTCAGTATTAATTCCGATAACCTACAACCAATAGAAAATTCCGACAGAAATAAGAAGAAGTAATGAACATCGTAATAATTATGTGGAAATTTATCTTAAGTCTTTATATGTTTTAGATCTATTCTTAAAATAGCAGCACAGTGACTTATCCTCTTGAAGGTTGCCATTTATACCTTTAAAGTGGTCCGTAGTCGCTTCCATTCCTTCCATTCAGAGAGGCCCTTTGTATCGATTGTCATAGCAAATCTCATACTGACCGTGAGGTGATGTACCTACTTAGGTGTGCGTTAAAAGTTTTGGCAAGTTTTGTTGGGTATTCAAAGCAAAAAAATTTGAAGGCCAATTTAAATTTTGAATCAGTTTGTGAATTAAGATCACTTTTAATGTGGATTTTGGCCATAAGGTGATGGTAGTAAGTCATTTTCTCTTGTTCTTGCTCAGAATTTGATTATATGTGGTGAGTCAGTGAATTTTGTAAATCGTGTTTCCTTAGCTTTTCGCGAACTTTTCTGTTAAGTCCTAAAGTGCACTAATTCTTGAATTTTGTAGGTGCAAGACTGCGACGCAGCATACTACTCCTACTCATCTTTAATTCAGAAAAATGATGTAGAAGCTGTTGAGGCTCTACTGATTAATGGCGTATGCACTCGTTTTTGACAAATTTGATTTATTCTAAGGGTGTTTGAGCTAAGGGAGTTTGAATTTGGTTGAAATATTTTGTTCTTCAATAACTGGCTTGCTTACAATTTATCTTTATATGCTTGAAATTAAATTTTCTTGAAACGCGCTATACTGCCTCTTAGTGAAGTTTTGGGCCACAAATCTTGTTAAGCCAATGTTTAAGCCTAATGAGTTTTGAAAATCAGCGTTTTTCATAGTCTATTCTCGCAGCTGCAAATGTGCTAATTTTATTAGTCAAATGGCCATTGGGGCCCATAAAATGGAATTCTATGTCTATATTTACTGTGAACTTTCTCTTGACCCTTATTTTTGTAAAACTCACTTAGAAAGTTATTGATTATTTCCAAGCCAGAATATCAAGCAAAATCTTTCTCTGGAACCAGACTTATCTATATTGAATATGACATTAATAGAGAATATGCTCGTAACTGCCCACCTGATTTTTATTTGACCTTGATGGAAAGAAGTCACTAGATCTAAAACAGAAAAGTGCCAGAGATGATCTACTGAAGGAGAACATATTATTAGAGGACCACGGGAACGTGTTGACCTACTAGATTTGTCTTTTGCTTACGCAACCACAATGACGCGGTCCATTTTTATGAATCCACCACAGAATATTCGCTTATGCTCAAATTCTAAATATAAATCGGGATCGCGGTTTCGTCTTCCAATTTTTGGTCCTAAAGTCCTTTCTAATTCTCTCAGTACAGCTACTTTAATTTCCTTCTCCGTTGTTTCAAAGATTAAAGAAGACTGGGATTCAATACCAATATTCAATTTTTCAAAATGCGTCAAGAATTTTGTAGAAATTGAGTCTTAATTGTAATCCTTCTTTCAGATAAATCCCAACTACAATCCAAGAGGGAAAATCAAAATCCCATTAATTGAAGCCGTCATCTCAAGCTCAATTAATGTGGTTTCTATTCTATTGCGCCACAGAGCTCTGCCATATCTCACTTTGAATGGGGATGGCACGGCTTTGCATTATGCGGCAGCTCTAGGGCACACGAATATTGTTCGTTTGCTTATTAGACACGAAGCTAACATCAATTCACCCAACAAAGCTGGTTATACTCCTCTCTTTTTGGCAATTCAGTATAACCACATCGAGACTGCGAGGCACCTTATTGAAATGGGCGCCAGTCTTCACGCACAATGCAAAGAGACGGCTCTTACGCTAGCAAGCTATGCTGTACGTCATTTTGACTTCATTCATTCGATGTTTAGGGACACTATCAGTTAGTGAAAACAATTACTTCCAAAGTGCCGAATGAGGAGAAGGATCAGAAACGCGAATACTATGTAGCCTTATCGCAAGCCTCCTTCAAAGGATTCACTAGAATAATTAAATTATTGCTAAGGTTGGGAGCGGACGTAAATGCATCTTATGAGGGTGTTAGCCCCCCTCTGTTTGCATCGATCTATGGAAACAGAGTTATAACTGCCAGATATTTGATATCAAAGAATGCTAATATTGAAGCTCGCAACCAGGGTGGATACACTCCTCTCATGGAAGCTGCAAAGCGCGGTCATGAGGGCATGATGAAAATTCTTCTAGACGCTGGTAAGTTATGGCATCGTTTGTTATTTTATTTGCATAAAATTTGTTCAAACGCTCTTTCCCCAAATTCTCTCATTCTCATTAGGCGCTGACACAAATGCTAAATCGCTGATTGAAAAAGAAACCGCATACGAATTCGCGCAATCTGGAAAATTTCATGATGTCTGTGTCCTGTTGGCAAAGCACAATATTAAAGAACACGCTATTTGAAATATTGCCTATAGTCTTGTTATAGTTTCTTCAGAATCGATTTTTTATTAAGTTCTAAATTGCTGTTATTATTGGAAAAACTGAAAATCGCAACTATTTCTTTATTACTTCTTGTTATTTTACTTTCCAAATTGCTAACAAATGGGTTTAAATAGAAATGGTGCGAATATTGGAACTGTATTAATTGGAAGAAATAGATCATTATGGAAACTCTTAATGCAAAATTGTTCGTACTTTATAATGTTAACTCTTTGAGTGGTTTGGTGTTTGGTTAAATAGTAAAGCTTAATTTTTGTGTGAAATTATCAGGTGTACTGCGTACAGTTATTCTAGTAAAATCGAAAGTAGATGATTGCAAACTTGGTTTAATTTCCTCAAAGTTGTTTTATTCAGACGTGTGTGGGACACTTCATCAATGACCAATAGAAATCCTGCTTACTCAGAGATATTTAGCTATTAATGTTCACGCGAATTATGCTAGATTTATCTGATAACTAATCGCTTTGCCAACACACTTCGCTATCAATATACGTACTGAATAAACGTAATTCGTGCTACACGTCTGTTTCCTTTATAGCTGGGCTATAGCTTAACTTGTTCTGGGAGTCAAGCTAGATGTTGGAGAATCTGCCATGGAGATTTCTGAGTCGGTCAGGCTTTACTAGCGTAGCGATCCGCTACACATGGTTTAAGCTGTTATAACTTAGGCTTATTAAGGTACTCTTCTTTTAACCGACAGGGTAATCAAGGGGCTACGAATCCTACCCATTAAGTATGAAACAGAACCTCTGAGGCCTAAGTATGTAATTTTTATCAGCAATTTAGTTCATTTTATGGACCGATAACCTTTGGAACGATTGGCTGTCTAATTAGCCAATGATTGCAGTAATGGTGGAAAATTAATAATCCCTAAGTCAATGTCAGGCCTGAATTCTGATATGTCGATTAAAAAGTATTTAAGGAAGTTAGATTCAGTGAATTTTTACGAATTCGTTGTAAATAAATTAAACATAGTGAAATGCATTAGGTACTGTCTTTGTTTTACCTATTTCTAAATCGAGCTTATTTCAAGATTTTTCCGACCACCTATAGAAAGTAGAAGAGATGCTTCCAAAATTAGAATTCAGTAATGAAGATATTCACCAATTCCATAAATTTTGACGGTCATTTGTCAGTTTAGAAGGTGCATGTAAAGATAAATATTTTTTGGAAGTTTCAACCTTGATACAGCTTACCAAAACTCCAGAATGTACTGTTTGTAAATCAGCAAGACAGTAGATACATTATTGGTTATTAATGGTATCAAGGTAGAATCCGAAATAATGATTCGATAAAACATTCAAGTTGTAAAACTGGTTATATAAATATAGAAACTTAGCTTTAATAACATTAAGTATCTGAATCTCTAAGTCGGTTTTATAGTAAATATGTTATCGACAAAAAACTGGTAAGAAAACATCCTACTAACTAACAGTTCCAAATTAAGGGTAATTCAAGACACAGATAGTTGGGAACAAAACAAACTTTAAAAATGAACTTGAAATAATTTTAAAATAAGAAAATATAACTTAAATAAATTGTAAAATAGTTTCTTCACAGAGCGAAAAATGTAATAAACTGCATTTTCTCAGGCAAACACGATATTGTCGCTTTGTCGCTTTCACTTTTAAGTGGCTCCATTTTCGTAGAATTTTCGATGATGTACTCATCACCAGCTTCAACCTAGAGGAGCACAGGCAACATCTACGCCAAGTATTCAAAC